GTTATCTCTGCTCCTTGCACGACCTCCTGCTCTCTAGCTCCCTTGTCTCCTCCTCCCATGCTCGTCTCCAGGACTTCTCCAGAGCTTCCCCCATCCTCTGGAATGCTCTACCCCAATATATCAGACTATCACCTACTCTGCTCACTTTTAGGCGATCTCTGAAAACCTATCTATTCAGAGAAGCCTATCCTGCCCTCAGCTAATAATGGATCTCCTACTCTTCCTACCAGTCCATCCCCCACAGTTACTACCTTTTGTACCACCAGCCCCTCACTCCTAGATTGTAAGCTCCAAGGAGCAGGGCCCTCCTATCCCTCTTGTATTGAACTGTATTGTTGCTGTATTGTCTCCCGTTATATTGTAAAGGTTTGCGCAAACTGTTGGCGCTATATAAATCCTGTATAATAATAATAATAATTTTATTTTATAGTTTTTTAATGGTTACTGGGTATATTTATTTTTTTATTAAAACGGAACTCACTGACTAACCACAAACTGCAACAAACACTATTTATTTCATTTTTAATATTCAAAGCAAACCCCCATCCATCCATGTCTTCATGTTTTATTTTGCTGAGAAATCACTTTGAAAAATACCCCCTGGCATTTCTAGCTGCGGCCATCTTGAGTAAAAGCAGGAATTCATCTGCCCTTAGCTCAGGCATGCAGGCAGGAGGGTGTGCTTAGCTGAGAAAACCCATGCTCATCTCAGAAGAAAGCTACGAAATGCCTATAAAGACTCCTGGGATGTATGACATCATTTTTGCCTAGGCCAGAAACCAGGAAGCAACTGAAAATATGTAAAAAAAAGATTAAAACAAGTAAATATAATATACCTTCCTACCTGTTTACTAATGTTAGCAGCATAAAGATTAAAAATATTTAAAGCGGGTGTAAAGGCTGAAGGTTTTTTACCTTTATGTAGTCTATGCATGAAGGTAAAAACCCTTCTCTGTGCTGGTCCCCCCCACTGCCCTCCCTCACCTGAGCCCTTCTCAACCCAACGATGTGCATGGGAGCCTCGGCCTCTGCTGTCCCTAGTCTCTCTCTCCTCACTGGCTGAGACACAGCAGTGGGAGCCAATGGGGAGAGACTGGGGGATGTGCCAAGCCATGGCTCTATGTATCTTATGGACACATACTGTAGAGCGGGGCTCAGGAGTGAGCATGCACCAGTGCCCACATAGCAAGTGGCTTGCTATTGGGGTCACTGGTCAAGCGGGAGGAGCCATAAGCATCCATGGTGGACCCGAGAAGAGGATCGGGGCTGCTCTGTGCAAAACCATTGCACTGAGCAGGTAAGTATGACATATTTGTTATTAAAAAATAAAAAAAAACCCGAATCACTTTAATTTCTTAGTTCAGCTTTAATATATTAAAATATTTTAAAGATAATAGTATTATTATTTTAAATATAATATATAAAAAGGATGAAATGTATTTTTCATGGTCTTCTTTTGTCTGATATGTTGAATGGGTCTCTTTTGTTCAGGACTTAACAGAGTTTTATAAATAACATTTTTCTTCTGTGAATTGTATGTGTAATACCAATGGAATGACAGCAAACCTTCCTATTTTAGGACCATGGCATACACCCTTGTGTGTGCGTTACGCAGTTCAGGCTTCATTTGTCTTTGTGGCTTCTTTAGTTTCTTTGCTATGAAGTGACGGGGCTTTTATACATACAGGGGAAAAAAAATCCTCTAAGGAGTTTGTAAAAGAAACTGCAGGTAACATCTTCCACTTTCTGTACCTGATTTAAATGGACTGAGTAATTCAATAATCATACAATAACAGCTGGCCTCTAATCACAGGGATTGCTCCAACTCTCCATTATACTGGATCGCCAGTGATGCCAAATAGGTAATTTCCTCACAAACTGTACTCATTAACATCCATCTTCTCTGCTTTCTATTATTAGTTATAAAGCCTTCATTGGATTCCCCTGAGGGTTGGCTTAATTAGGAGTGGCAGCTTCAAGGTTCCAGCGATAAGGGCTTTCTAGGCGGCAAGGTAGCAAAATCAATTGTATAATGGTGTCATTGCCCACTCAGCAAAACATACAGTCAAGAAGCGCTGGGATGGCACTGTGCCTGCTGAACCATTTCAGGCAACACAGCTTGGATTAGTCTATGCACCTCTCAAAGACAGTATGCAATCATTTTTTAAATGTATAAGATCTAAACAAATCATTAGGAAACAAAATGAATTATCATATTGATGTGCATGTGTGTTTTTAATTTGAAGTGTATTTTTAAAGGAAAATTTTACAGACTTTTTAAATGTATATTCCAACTACATAGTTACTCTGGTTAAAAAAAAAGACACAAGTCCATCTGGTTCACCAATAAAAAGGAACAAAAAAATACAACCCTATATATCTGGGGTCTCCAAACTTTCTAAGTAAAGAGCCAGTTTACAGTCCTTCAGTCCTTACAGTCCTAACACTGATTTCCTAAGGGTACTGACTGGCAAAGTGTCCAGCAAGAGGTTAATTATCAGAGGTATAATATTAGATATCGCTCAGATGTTCAGGGGCACAGTTCTAAGCAGCAGGACTTGTTGCAGAAAGTTTGTGGATGATAGGGGGGCAGAAAGTGTATGGATGATAGGATGTGCCTTTAAGAGGGACAATGGTGTATGTCTTTACAACGATATCAATAGAGGCCCAGACAATGTCACAAAGGGTTAATGTCCACTCAATGACTCCAGGATACTTGTAGTAGAAGCTCTCCTTTAGTTATGAATTGGGGGCCCCCTTTAAGGTGGAAATGATTCCAGAAGACCTTCTTCAGCGATAGCTCTGCGATAGAGCTGCACCCTTAGCTAGACTTGTTGGTTTAACGTCAGGAATTGGCAGGTCTGGATCTCGGGCGGCTCTGGTACTACGCCTCAGGACGGTCTCCAGTGGACAGCGGTACAGACACAGAATAGTGTCCTATCATTGATGTTATTGGTGTCAGTGAGAAGAATAGTCCCTCATCGTTAGTGTCAGTGGGAGGAATAGTGCTCCATTGTTGGTGTCACTAGGAGGAATAGTGCCCTATCAGTGCCAGTGGAAGAAATCAGTCCCTATCAATGGGGTCAGTTGAAGGAATGGTGTCTAATCTTTGGTGTCCGTAGCAGCAATAGTGCCTTGTATCAATGGGAAGAACAATGCCCGAGGGGCTGGAGAAAGGCGAGGCGGTGTAAGGCGCTTGCGGAGCGTTAATACCATTGAACTTCATTATAGGCATGTGGTGCGGTTTTAACGCTTGGCAAATGCCTCAAAAACGCACATAGTTTTGGGGAGCATTTGAGAAGCGTTAAAAACTCTTCCTAAACGCCTAATGCCTGTCAAACGCTATAGAGGCTTTTGGCAAGTTTTAGAAATTAGTCAAGTGTGAATGAGCCCTTAGGCATGCTGGCTTTTGTAGTTTCTTGGGTCTGGATAGTAAGGTATTTCCTTCTGGCTGGGACCACAACTCCCAGAGTGCAATGTTCTTGGCTGAAGATGAATCAGAGTCCACAAAGCTTCATCTTGTGGCAGAAAAAGGGATCTTCTTGCAGGAAAGATAATAATGCATTAATAAACCTGCACATTTAGTTACAATGGATCTTGTTACATAGAGAATTCATATTAAAACTCATCTGTGGAAGATTTCTGATTTTAGCACAGCTGTAGCACACTGGAATGCGTTTGTTATTGACTGACTGATTTTGTTTGATGCCTGGAATACAACTTTAAATTAAGCTGTCTTGAGTTCAAAAATAGAAACCTATCTCTTAAAGTAATTTGGAAATGAAAAAGTGGAAGTTTGATATGTTATGTTCTGTCTGGAATTCCTCCTGAAAAAAAAAACAGTGCACTTCCTGATATGTGACGGTGCCTAGGCACTCTCCTATCCACAGTTTTATAGATGTATATCTGCAGTGTAAGTTCTAAGGCACTGCTGCCTGTGACTGTTAACCTCATTGGATTTGGAGTAAGTATTGGAGATCTGAATACTGTGATGCTCACACTGTTCTTCTTGCTGCAGGCACTGACATAAGGAAGCAAAAGCCTGCCCCCACCAAGATGGCTGCCTTTACTCAGAGACCACAGGCCATACTGGTGACTAGTCCTTTGCCTTCTACTTGCCCTTTTTTCGGCACAGCTCTCAGAGTTTAGTTCCTCTTTAACACCTTCACGCTGCCTCTTGGCAGTCCTTTAGCTGGACTTTAATGCAGGGAGGCAGTGTAGCTTACGAATCATGTGACCACTATGATTGGCTTCTACAGCACTCACATGATTGGGAGCACACTTTCAGCATATGACCTCAGACCCTCATGGACATCATACAGTATGTGCAGTGGCTGGGCTTTAACCCCTTCGCACCGATGCCTCCCGGCCCTTTAAGGGTTTCAGAAGCTGGGAGGCGGGGCAGAGGTTAGGGTCATGTGACCACCGTGACACGCCGTCATGGCAGTCACATGATTGGGAAAGGTCCCAATCGAAAGAGGAGATCGGGACCTTTCCGTGAGTACTGGACATGTGTGCTGGGAGTGCACAGGGCGCGCTCTCAGTACATATGTCTTTTTTTAATAGAACGCAAATGTGTGGCCGCTCGGCGTCTAGGCCCAGACGCCAGGAGGCTGCACATTTGCGTTCGGCCGGCGTGAAGAGGTTAAGGCTCACTCTGCTGCCACACATGCTGTAGACAGTAGCGAAGAAGTTAACAGTACAATAAAAATTGTGTTGTTAAAATGATTTAAGCCCAATCTGGCCACTATAGATTAAAACACTATTGTTGCTCACATAGTCTGTAGTTTGTGTGCATGATAGAGATCTGCTTATAAGCAGCTGAAGATCAGATTACATTTTTCTGCACCATTCTGTGTCTGATCTCACAAATTACAAGCAAATCTTTCTGCAGTTTAGGCAAACCATAGATGAACCGATTTGGTGGGGAATGCCTCCCACGGAGCTATTGTCTTCTGCAAGCAAGGTGGGGATGGGGCCCAGGAGCTGGCAGAACACCATGATTACTGCTAGCCAGGGGCAGACTGACCATTTGGAAACTCGGGCACTGCCCGAGGGCCCGGGGTCAGTAGGGGGCCCCATAAGATTCCCCTGGTACCTTTTTCATAGGCTTTTTTGAGTTTGGCAAAGACACAGGGGCCCCATGATCCCCTATTGCCTGGGGGCCCCATGAGTTGTCAGTCCACCCCTGCTGCTAGCGGCTATAGCTGCAGGTACTAATCACATGCTAAAAATCCAACAGGCTGGTTGTAAGTCGATTAATGGATTGACTTGAATACAGTCAGTTTGCCCCTAGATGGATCGAATCTTGGCCAGTCCTGCTGAACTGGCCGAGATTTGATCCATCTATGGTCGGCTTTAGAGAGCTGTACTTGCAGCTTCCCCTCCCTAAAAAAAGACTAAACCCAATCCCAACCTTTTAACCTATCAGAACAAGTGGCTACAGTTGTTGCGAACATTCACAAGAAATTAATCCTAAAAGTTGAGTCTCTGAACTGTGAACCCAGGGGGTACATGAGAATATATAGCCCACCACACTGCAATCCCTAGTGCATGTGTAAAATATAGCAAAGTATGGCAACTACATCTGTTTGCAGACTGTTCACTCTCCCTAATATATTCCAACACACCCTGACAAATGGCTGCCGTGAACCCACATTTTATAATACGGGGGCTGGCACATAACTATGCACACCACATTTGAAAGGATTATTTACTAAAACTTGAGAGCGCAAAATCTGGCACAGATCTGCATAGAAACCAATCAGCTTCCAGTTTTTTTTTGTCAAAACTTAATTGAACAAGCTGAAGTCAGATGCTGATTGGCTATCATGCAGAGCTGCACCAGATTTGATCCTCTCCAGTTTTAGTAAATCAACCCCTATGGGTCCGATAAAATTCACCTGTACCGTGAAGCTGAAAAAACACACAGATTTGCTGTAAACCCATCGTGAGATAAATTTGAACCTCATCCCTAATTTTGAAAATACTGCTGATGAAAACATACATCCCTAATCATGTTATCATCCCTGCCGTCAATGCAAGGTGTTTTCATATGTAGGCTACACAGCCCCTTTAACTCTTTTGCCATGCAGCATATGTACAGAAATTGATTTTAGACTGAATAAAGGAAAATGAAAGGCATGCAAGCCTCTTTCTCCACATTGGGCAAACATGCTAATAATATCCATTTCTCTCCAGGAACAAACCTACACAGGTGACTCCATCTAACAGCAATCGCAATTCCCAGATGTTTTGGGGCCGCTCTGGCATCAGCAATTTTGTGTAATATAAGCTTCTAGCTCAGCAGTTTTTGTCAGGCCTCAGTTCAATCTGCAGAAAGTGAATGTAAAATGACATTTACCAGTTGAGTAGAAGAGCGCGATCAGTCTTTCCTCCCACAGCAGGATGCTGTAACACACACACGGAAGGACCCTTGGTTCATTGGGTCTGTCCTTACCTCAGCAGGGTAGAGATGGAGTGGGCTTATTACCCATGAAGGCTGTTCTTCTCTGCATGGAGAGTTCTATTGACAGAGATAAAATCAGGGTCTGGAGCATGGTGAGATGGGCGCACACATACATTTTACATTCCCATTTTGATTTGATAGCACGCTGGTCAAGCCCCTTTACCTCTACAATTACATTGTATTTTCAAGTCATTATATCACATTATAGATTGCCCTTCACTGCCTATATAATAGCACAAGCCTATGTCGCTTTCTCACTTACATGTCATTCTCCTATATCAGAGACCATACTGGGATACATAGCCTTTCATATTAGGTAAAACATGTCAAAATGATAAAAAATGAGTTGTGACTTTTATGTAAAGTTTGATGGCAAAATAACAATAGCTACTGCAGTGCTGGAGTTTACTAAAGAAGTACTTAAGTCACAGATGCCAACATTTTAAATGAATTCCAGAGACAATTTTAATGAGCTTTTCATGTGCAATCAAATTTATAACATAAGTGAATTAAAGTGAAAATTGATACAGTGCTAAAAAAAGGTCACTAAACAAATGTCAGTCTCTAGCATGTGCATAAATATTTAAAAGGAAGTATATACCAGCTTGTGGAATGAACAGCGATAGGTGGGTATAGGCAATGTTCTCTAGTCCAGTAGGCAGGGCTAACATTGTGGCTTGGAATTTCAGTCTAGCAAAGGCAGTGTGTTGTTAGCCCAAGCAAGAAATTAGGGGAACATTTCATTTCTGGCAGATTAACAAATAGATTTCTGTACTGCAAGGTTATAACCTCTTGACATATGCATAACACATATAGAGAGGGAGCTCTAATGCTCAGCCATCACACATATGCTTCCACAGCAGCAGGAGGTGCGGTCACTGCGCACTCCCAGCACATGGACTCCTCATCATGTGATTGTTGTGAGGTCCAATCACAGTGGTCACATGATACAGAAGCCACTCTACATCGCAGGCATTAAAGCCTACTGAAAGGGCCCTTGGGTGGCAGTATTAGGGGCTTAAAGGAACATATCATATGAAATGATTTGTATGTTTATATTGCTCCATATCTATTGGGAATGAACTGTATGTGTAAATATACTGGGGTAGATTTACTAAAGCCAGTGCACTCAGAATCTGGTGAAGCTGTGCATGGTGGCCAATCAGCTTTCAACTTTAGCTTGTTCAATTAAGCTTTGGCAATAAAACCTGGAATTTTATTGGTTTCTATGCAGAATTGCACCAGATTTTGCAGTCCAGTTTTAGCAAATCAACCCCAGTGTCTAGCAAAGAACATAAGGCAGCCATAGACGGATCGATATTCCACCAGTTCAGCAGGAACCAGTTGAATTTTGATCCATCTATGGACAGGTTGTTTTGCAGTCAATCTATCTGTTTAAACTGTGAGCACAGGCATATTAGGCCATTCTTAAAGAGTGCACACTGGGTTCCAGTAGTGAGTGTCCTAAAGAAGTAGTTAACCTTAATAATCTTTTAATTGAAATTTAAAAAAATAGTTATTACCTAAAGTGTAAAAATAAACTTTAAAGCTGCACTTTGGTCAACAGATAATATCCCCTTATGGTAGCCTCTTCGTACACCTAGTAAGATTCTAATTCCCATTTAGTCCAGGGGCCAGGCAATTGACAGAATTTCTTACCTTATTCCTCGATCTTGTGGACTTTCTCCACAGCAGATGACCAGTCCCACAAAGCCACAGTTCTGTGGTCATCCCCTCTCGAATGTCATCATTTATAAGGTAGGACCAGAGGTCCTGCATTGTATGTGAGGATGTTGGGAGCCTGCAGGCTGGTGAAGGAGATTGCCAGTTGCCAGGGGGAACAAAAAATAAGGTGACTGCTCCTCCCTGTTAAATCCTCCTAAGCAAAACATACATTATAGTCTTACTATAGTTTAGCTTTATAGGAGTTTGTTTAGGAATAAATTTATCATAGCAGGTACCGATCCAAAGTGAATGTACACTGACTAGCCATATCATTAAGATCACTGACAGGTAAAGTGAATAACATTGATTACAGTGGCATCTGAAAGTTGGTGCTGTATATTGGGAAGCAAGTGAACATGTCCCTTAAGGTGATGTTTTGAAAGCAAACAAAAATGGGAATCACAGTTTGTTGTGTATGGTTAGGCAGGTTGCCTGCTGTAAGTTATCTGCAGCTTGGGTCAGCTAAAGCACACTAGGGTATGAAGACAGCTCTGCAAGCATTTTCACGGTACGGAGTTAAGTAAATAATTGCCAAGGGTAATGGAGGTCTAGAAACCAGGCGAGGTATACTCATGTAGCGAGGGGGTTGCCTCTGAGACTCTCATCCCCAGCAGTCCATCTCCCCTAGCAATGGAAGCAGATCAGCATCACCAAGGTCCTCGAATTAACCCCAAGGTACTGGAGAGGAGAAGACAAACCGCATGCATGAAGTCCTCGTTAGGTGTGCGGCAAACCCTATTCTGTCACAGGGAGTGAGGTGACAGATGCACTGGATAGGTGGAGTGGGCATAGGCTCCTCAATGCATTAGTTAAGATCTAGGTGTGCACTGACACGGGACCAGAGAGTTAACTGGAGTCCAGTTTATTTACTCAGTGTACACAGTGTAAGTTGGAGGACCGCCTTAAGGTTGGCTTTCCCTGAAAGAGGTCCCTGCCTTGCCCCAGGGTATTGGTGGGCACCACACAGCAGGGGTGCCCAATGTGTAGGGTGAGTGACTCTGTCCATGGTGCCTAGCTTAGTTGAGAAGAACCCAATGGGCTTACAGTCACTTGGAACCGTCAATATCCACCCACCCACCCACATATGGGACTGTGTAGCCGCAGACCAGTCAGAGTGCCCATGCTGATTCATGTCCACAGCCAAAAGTGCCTGCAATGGGCATGTGAACATTAGAAGTGGACCATGGAGTAATGGAAGAAGGTGGCTTTGTCTGATGAGTTACATTTTCTTTTACATCATGTGGATGGTCAGGTGCGTGTGAGTCACTTACCTGGGCAAGAAATGGCGCCAGGATGTTGTGTAGGAAGAAGGCAAGCCAGTGGAGCCAATGTTCTGCTGGAAAACCTTGGGTTCTGCCATTCATGTGGATGTTACTTTGACACGTATCACCTACCTAAACACTGTTGCTGACCAAGTACACCCTTTCATGGAAACAATATTTCTTGATGGAAGTGGCCACTTTTAGCAGGAATATGCACTATGCCACACTTAAAAATGGTTCACAAATGGTTTGAAAAACACAACATTGAGTTTAAGGTGTTGACTTGACCTGCAAAATTTTCCAGATTTCAATCCATCAAGCATCTGTGGGATGAACAAGTCTGATCCATGGAGGCCCCCACCTTGCAACTTACAGGACTTGAAGGATCTGCTACTGATGGCTTGGTGCCAGATACCACAGCATACTTTCAGAGGTCAAGCGGTTCCATGATGTAACGGGTCAGGGCTGTTTTGGTGCCAAAAGCTGCTGTTTTGATGGCAAAAGGGGGGCCTACTCAATATTAGTGGATCATCATGTTATGTGATCAGTGTATTACTCAATGGAAAACTGGCTCCTAGTTTATGACTTTATAAAAGGACAGCATGATGAGCTTAGCCTAAAGTGAATACAATGAACAATAGCTTGGATCAGCTGCAAATAATTCTTCTATATAAACATTGTATTCATTGTATGCTGTATGTTTACAGGCGATTTAAAAGACAGGCTGACAATATAACTGTGCTACTAAAATTCTTCAAACAAACCTCATTG